AATCAACATATTTTTCCTTTAAAATGTTACATTTACTCAGATTAAACTTTTGATCTGTCATCTATGTTATATTACGAATAAAATATTGACATTTGCCATCTCCACATCATTGCATTCAGTTTTTATTCACAATTTGGTTAGTGTCCCAACTTTTTTGGAATCCAGTTTGTAGAAAATTCTAAAGGGTACACAAACTTTCAACCACCACTGTACACACTTTTTTCTACACCTCTAGGTGTAGACAAAATTTCAGTCCAAATATCGAAGGCATACATTTTTCCACCCACTCCTGCTTCTGCTCTTTGTCCAGTGAACCTTATCGGCGGCTCTCTTTACATATCTTCCAAATTGTAAATTATGGCACTGGTCAGCTGGGTTCTCAACACAACGGATACTATTTTCTTGATGAGAAGACTGGGCGAAGGAGAGCCTTTTTGCCTTGATGGGACACTTGCAGCAGGATACACGATGGATTCCTGGGGGCAGTGGAAGATCATGTCTGTCCATATTGTCTGTTGAGGATGTAGAAGATGCGTACATAATTGGATTTATGATAACAGGATTTCTGCTTTTTGGAGTTGGTGGTTCCCCGGCATATCGACAAATGCAGAAAAACATTGGCAGCTGTTCTGACCATTGTAAGGCTGCCTGGCTTGTGTGATGGAATGTGCCGTGCTTTGAGCATTCAGACTCAAATGTTGTGTGAGCTGAGCCATAAGCTGAATGCGATTTCTGAGAATCGCAGGCCCCTTGCGGCTCCTGAAACTTGCTGGCAGGAAGGACGTGGCCTTGGAGAAGCTACAAGCTCGGCCCGGCAGTGCTGACCACAAAAATTTGGCTGTTTGGAGTCGCCGTTGAAACATACCAGTAGAACTATAAGGCAGACAGAAATCAAACACAGTCAACCCGACCCAAAATAACTTTTGCTATCTGAGTCTGGCTCCCCCGCGTCGGCCTTGAATTGTTCATTTATCCCAAACTCTCCTGGATGTTATGTGAACAAGAAGCTCTGCCCCCCCACACCCCACCTGCTTCCTTCCCGAGGACATCTGTGGACCTGTATCAGAGCTGAGCCGGCTGATTGACACTGCACCATCTCTTATGAGGACTATGGAACTATCTGGCAGTGTCCACGAATAAACTCACTGCCTTTGCCAGCCTTCCTCATGTAGATGCATTATGTCATCAATAAGTTGCTTTTTCTGTGCTGAGGTTTTCTTTGCATCTTTCACACTGTGTCCCGTCTAGGATTGATTTTTTTAATGATTTTTTTTAAACCTCCTCTTCTCTTGTGTTTCTATTTTCCTTATTTAAATGAAAAAGGCAGCGCCTCCCATGAGACAGCAGCCTCAGACACCTCCGTCTCCCCATGTCTGTTTGTTTGTGTTTTATTTGGGCGGCTGTACTGAAATGTAATTTTGCTGTGGTTTGGTGCAATGACAATGAAGCTGATTCTGATGTACTACTATAGGTTTTATGTTTGTCACTGAAAGAAATGCTTCCATCAGTCAATGCCCCACAGACTGCAGCACCACTACACACTGTATACAGTGTATACAGTGTACTTTTACTAAGGTCATGTACACAGTATAATCCCATCCCACAGCAGAGCACACTGAGCTATCACTTCAGGGTTATCAAAACTAAAAAAGTCCAATAATCCCGGTATACAATCCAACAGTTTTCAGTCAGCAAAACTACATGATCACTTCAGCAGCTTTTACTACAGTTCCACTTCCTGCCACTTAAGCAAGTTTGCAGCTTCTGACTTTGTGCTAATGTTGTTTTTTGAGACTTTTTTTGCTTTTTGAGAGATGTCTTAATGGTTCTCATGAATCCAGAAATACTTGTCCACTTCATTAGTCAAGTCTCGAAAACATAAATAGAATAACGTATGTCACAGATTTGTTGTTAAAAACAGCCACCCTGATGGTGAGAGCTTCTCAGAGTTTCATGTGTTAAAGTTTCATTGCTTACAAAAAGTAAATAACATCTTTTCTGTCTTCAGGAACTAGAGTGGACGATGCCAAAGCTCTGATTGCTGCCAGTCCACTAAAAATATTGGCCTGCGACGACCTCGATGAAGCTGCAAAAATGGTACACACATCCATTTATTTGAACTTCTGGATTATTTTGACTTTACCACCATGTGTTAGCATTAAACGATAGAGAGGAGCCGGTGAGACGAAGGTGGTGTTTCTGAATGAACGGTGGTGGACAGGTCACACAGAGCTCCGATCTGCTAACAGGAGCTCACAGGAGAGTTGAGAGCAGGAGTCGCATCACATTTATATCTGCAGCTTTTATTTGGCTCACAGCAGTGACAGTATGATAATCCTCTGTGGCGTTGGGTTAACATCCATCCATCCATTATCTTTACCTGCTTCTTCCTGTTTGGTTCGCGGGGGTCACTGGTGCCCATGTCCAGCTATCAGTAGATATGTTTACATGGACATAAGTAATCAGATTAAATGGCCATTTGGATTCAAATGCATCATGTAAACGCCCCATTCGGGTTATTTTTTGTTTATTCAGCTCAATCCAAAAGAATTTGTAATCAGAACGAGATGGGTGGTTTATGCCGATTCATAATCCGAAAGGTGCGCATGTAAACACTTAATCTGTTCGTTGTATTCCGACTGTGGAAAATTGACCTGACTGCGCATGTGCGACCTATGTCATTTCCGCCTGGCTACTGCTAATAATGTTAGCACGTCGAGGAAGTAAAACTGGTCGGTGAGCGACAACATTTCTACTAGAAACTCTGAAAGAGCTCAGAATGCTGTGTATCACCTGCAGCTCAGTCAGGGAGTGCAGCAACGTCTCCACCGTCAGTAAAACCTGTCCAGGGTCCATTCTGGTGCTCAGGTTGTTGACGTTCATCCTGGAAGTAAACCGGAAGTAGAACTTCTTCTTCTGTGTTTTTTTTAAGGAGAGTTTACCGCTCTGCACATGTCAGTACTTCTGTTCAGAACAAAGCCCGCTGCATGTAAACACTCATGAACAGATTGAGTCCATGTAAACAATACTTTTGAATTATTCAAACAGAACACATTTCAATACGATCAAAGAATGTTGCACATGTAAACATAGCTACTGTGTGAGGGGCGGGGGACACTCTGGACAGGTCTCCAGTCCATCACAGGGACACATGGAGACAAACGAGACAAACAACCATTCTCTCTCTCACCTTGGGACAATTTAGAGTTACCAATCAGCCTAACATGAATGTTTTTGGTCTGTGGGAGGAAACTGGAGTAACTGGGAGAAAACCCATGCAGCATGGAGAGAACATGCAAACTCCACCCAGAAAAGTCTCGGGCTGGGCTTTGAACCGGCAACCTTCTCGCTGAGAGTGAGCCACCGTGCCTGTTGGTTTAAAATGACATTTTGAAACCAGATTTGGTTTGAAATCTACTTTAGTGCAAAAGAGTTAAAGTATAAAATAATCACTTTATAATTGCCCAGCTTCATTTATATACACTTTTTTAAAGAACCACTAAGGACCAGTGTTGTGCTAAACTTCCTCAAGTAAGAGCTAAAATGTTGAGCAGCTAAACACGATGTGACGATGAGTGAACGGAAGAAAGTTTGATTTGTTCCAGTAAAGGTGAACTCTTGTGTTCACAGGTTGTAAAGCTTTCTGAAATAGTGTCTTTGGCCAAAGAAGCTCAAGTGGACATCACCTTCCAGCTGCCCATTTAAACCATCAACAGACGCAGTGAGCCGTGACTCCACGCCCCCACTGACCTCTCCAGACGTCTTCATAGTGTTTGTGCTTCAGTGGTGTGACGGCACGATTCTGAACAGCTTCACTTTACAGAAAACACCGTTTCCTCTTTGCTGTCTCACCCCCACCCTCCAGGTCAACCCTCCAAAGTTTGATTGCAGCCAGTTCGATGCGCAGGAACCCCAACTTTTATTCCCCTCTATTCACAGACGTCTCTTTACGTCTGTACATCCTCCTCAGATCTGTTTCAGCATATTCTTCCACGTTTAACATCTGTTTTTGACTCTGGAATTAGTTTGTATTTCCAACATTTGAAGCGAGTCAGGATCAGACGAAAAGGATTTGAGTTTTAAAAGTAGTCTGTATTAAGAACATAAACCTGGACGGAGCCGCGCCTCACTTCTCCCCTGTGACACACACAAACAGCGCAGTAGCACTGATGTAGATCTTTAGATGCTAATAGAAGCAGAACACGTGCAGAATCCTCGCAGCATCACTTTCAGTTCTTTCTCTCCTGCTTCAGGCAGAAGTGTTCAACAGCTGATTCATTATCCACCGACGTTTGCTTCATGAAACGTTTCAGTTTCACTCAGAGCGTCTGCAGGCAGTATGCACGCACGTTGTCATGATGATGATCCATTTACCTGAAGATCTGAACGGGCCACAGTTCTTTGTTTAGGTTACTGTCCATGACGGCTGCACACTTGGATGCATTTATTTGTGCAGATATCAGAATACGTCCAGGGTTTTCCATCAGACATCATTTCCATTCATGCAATCCGTTACAAAAGTGACATAAATGCACCAAAAACAGCCTTTTGTTGTTTTAAGATGCCAACATGAAATCTGCTGGTGTGTTTTTATCAGCTGAGGAGGAACTAAGACGCTTTCCTGCTGGTTCATCACACACTTCATTTAGGTAAGTTCAGACTACAGAAACATTTGCAGTTTCTTTCCCCACTCCCCTTGGTATTTTAAAAGTTACAGGAAATGAACTTTTTACTACTAAAGTTTTCAGTTATTGACTGACTGCATCACCTTCATCGTGCCACAGAACACCTGCTGCTTTCTTTCGGTTCGTCTTAGTTCTGTATGTCAGGCTGGTGTTGCAGTGCTGCATCCTCAGCTAACACCTGTAGTTTCCTCCTCCTCCTCCTCCTCCTCCTCCTCCTCCTCCTCCTCCTCCTCCTCCTCC